TATTTACATTTATGTTTGTTAATAATTCCTGTTTATTTAACTATATATTTGTAAATACTATTGTTTAAATTTCTTATATTTTCACGTATCTTTCCTCTCTTGCAAGGAACACCTGTAACATAAATAATTTCCCCCTGGGGATCAATAAAGTATTTCTGATTCTGATTCTGATTCTGAACCTTCTGATTCTGAGAGTGTCCTGAAGGATGTCCTCCAGCAGCAATCGCTGCTCCTCTCCTGGCTGGACGCGCTGCACCAAAACGCTCCCTCCAACTCCGGGAGTCGGGCTGAAAGTCCCACTCCCAGCCCATCAGCAGTCCACCCTCTCTCCTGGGCATCCGTTGGGAAGAATTGGAGAATGATTTCTCTTCCTCTTTTCTCACCAAAGGGGGATGATGACCCGGTCTGGATCTCCAACTACTTTGCTCCACTCGAGATGCTAACTGAGCCGGATGCTAGTGCGTCACTTCTGCCTATTGCTACTGCTCCGGAGCCTGTGCCGGTCCGCTCCGCTCCAAAACTTCAAGAAAGCGCAAAATTTCCCCGCAGTTGCAGACGCCTTTCCCCTCCAGCAGTATCCAACGCTGTGTGTGCTCCTCCCGGCCCCGAGTTTTCAACCCACAACGTAGAACTGGACACTGCTGTAGGTAGTAGTAACGTCATCTCCACTGGCGCACCAGATGAATCGTGTTCAGTTAACTCTGTTACCCTTGCTAATGCGCAACCTCTTCCGTCCAAACTTGCTGTCTTTAATGGAGGCTGTAGAGACAGACAACCCGAAATCCTTATCATTGGTGATTCCAGATTTGTTGAACTTTCAGGTGCTATCACCTACTGCCTTCCTGGTAGCAAAGTTTCAAACATTATCAAACTGTCCCTAGTGCTCATAGACCTAATTGTTCACGTGGGTTCCAATGACGTCATGGATAAAAAATCAACTAAACTCCACATGCAACTAGAATCTCTGGCAATCACAATTCAGAGCCTGGGCAAAATCTGTGTTTTTTCTGGTCCAATTCCTACTCTCTCAAAAAACCCCTGAAAGTTTCAGCCAAATTTTTAGTCTGCATGAATGGATAAAAACTTTCTGCACCACTACTGGGCAGGGCTTTATTAGTAACTTTGACTGCTTCAGACGGCCTGCACCCGAGCACAAAGGGTGTTAAAAAGCTTGTAAAAAACTTTATTTAACATATTGCTTTTAATTCTGACTGATGTTCACCTCAGCATGACCCTGCACCAGAAGCCACTTCTTTCCATAGCATTGAGCATCTCTTCTTAGGTCCTGCTGAGCATAGCTCCATCAACACTATGCCTGTGAGGATCACATTAAACTGTCCCATCGATAGACCCAGCTGCTGCGCTTGTTCTACAATAAGAGATAACTTAGTTCCCACTACACCCACTCCAGTAACTGACTCCATTACATCAGTTCAACCTCACCTATACCCTTAAACTGTACTGTGTGCTGAGCCCAGCTCCAGCACTTCAGTTGTTTTTAGTCATCTTAATGTTAGGTCCCATGCAAACAAGTCTTTTATACTCCAAGATTTAATTATGTCTAACAATATTGATTTCTCCTTCATTACTGAATCCTGGTTAAGCCCTGGGTACTCTGTCCCACTAAATGAGGCATGTCCCCCTAACTACCAATGCTTCCAGGAACCAGTATTGTGTGTTTAAGTCTATAGGCCGCCTAAACTTAACATGTCTTCTTCAAGAATTTTCTGAACTTCTTTCATTTATTATGGCCAAATATGACAGAGCTCCTATACTTGGGGATTTTAATATACATGTTTGCTTTTACTGCTGATTTTATTGCCCTCTCTGAATCTGTTAATCTTGTACAGCATGTTAAAGGGCCAACACATAATAAGGGACATAGCGTTGACCTTGTGTTATCTTATGGTGTTTCTCTTAATAATTTTGAATTGCTTGATATTGATATATTTGACCACAAGGCTGTCATTTTCCAAACTTTGCTCCCGCTTCCTGTCCGTAGGCCATCTACCTTTATTTGCTCTTGGTCTTTTAACTCCAAGTCAGCCAGCAGATTCTGTTAAAAAATTTAACTGCCTATGTCTGCAATTCCTTTAATCAGAATGATCACTCTGTCAATGATTTATTGAATAATCTTAATAGTACATGTGAGACTATTCTTGATGATATCACCCCCTTCAAGCTGAAACATGCAAAATAAACCCCCCTGCCCTGGCTCAATGACCATACAAGGGATTTAAAGAGGAAGTGTAGGAGAGCCGAATGAAGATGGATAAAGGACAAACTGCAGGCATCACTCGTTTCCCTAAAAGGCTTTATGTCAGCCTATCAGTGCGGATTTTATTTCAGATAATTAATTCAGTTGTCATCCCCCCTCCCAACCAGAATATGGAAGCATCCAGTTATGTGAGCAGTTTCTCCAATATTTCTTGAATAAAATGAATGACATTAGGCTCCATATTACACCTGTGACTGGGAGTATTCCCATCTACAATGAACCCTCCACCACTATGTCCTGTTTTAAGCAAATCTCACTCCTAGTATTAGAGGACCTTATCCCCCATTTAAACCCCTCCACCTGCCAATTAGACATTATCCCCACTAGATTCCTAAAAGAGGTATAACAGACTGTTGCCCCACGGATTCACTCTATTGTCTACTGCCTCTGTCCCATCCAGTTTTAAAGTTGAAGTTTTAGTCCCACCACTCCTGAAAAAACCTACACTTGACCCTCTAATTTTCAACAATTTTAGACCAATTTTAAACGTACCTTTCTTATCCGAAATGTTAGCAAAATCAGTTGTCACTCAATTAATCACACATATGAATAACAATAATATCACTGAACAATATCAATCAGGATTCCATACCCAGCACAGCACAGAAACAGCTCTTATTAGGGTTACTAATGATTTATCGATCGCCGCTAACTCCGGGCCTTGCTCAATTCTAATTTTGCTTGATCTGACTTCAGCATTTGACATAGTAGACCACAGTATCCTTATAAACCGCTTTAATTGTGTTGGAATTAAGAACAGTGCTCTTGCCTGGTTTCGCTCCTATCTCTCTGAAAGATCCTTCTCTGTTGTAATGGGAGGATATTCCTCATCCCCAGCCCCCCTCTCTTGTGGTGTTCCCCAGACGTCAATTCTAGGTCCTCTTCTGTTTTCTATTTATATGCTTCCTTGAAGCTGTTCTTGAGATATTGCGTGCACAAGAATCAGATGGATGCAAGGTCACAGTGACCTTGACCCTTGACTACCAAAATCTGCGTTCATCCTCGAGTCCAAGTAAAGTAAAGAAAGTCCCTCAAGGCTTTCTTGAGATATCACATTCACGAGAATGAGACATACAAGGTCACAGCGATCTTGACATTTGACCCTTCACCAGGGTCAGGTCAGAATGGGTCACAGGATGCACTGAAATCAAAGTTTCAAGTTTAAAGGAAGATCATGTCACATTTGTGTGTGTGTGTGTGTGTGTGTGTGTGTGTGTGTGAAGCTGACCTCCAGTGTGACCTCTTGCTTGGCCATGGCTCTCTCAACTGTTTCATACATCTGTGTGTTCTGGATGCCGAGGCCACAAAAGATGGCAAATGCCTCCAGGAACTGCTCATCATTCCTGTTGAACACCTTCATACTACCTGATACTTCATCCATCTTATTCACCAGCTGACATACACCTACATAGACACACAGAAGCAGACATTTAGGTCATATTTTTGGCATGGGAAGTTCAGTACACTGTAGCCCTGTGTGTCTGATTGGTACTAAAATCACTGAATGTCTTGAGAAGGGTCACTGTCAAATGTCAAGTGACAGGGTCACTGTCAAAGTACTTCAGTATTTTAGTTTTGTGCTTATGTATTGCATATTCAAAAAAGTCCGGGGCCAGATATTATTCTAGCTTAAAACTAGAATTACCGCTTCGTGGTGATATGCCACCACGAACCAGTTGCAGTTACAGTTTACTTCCATGTCTGTCTAAATTCCTAAGTGGCCATGACAGTGGACAGTGCTTCAAATATGGTTGTCTTCAACATGACAGCACAGAGGCTCTATACAATTCCCACAGTTTTGAGGTGGGCACCCAAGATTAGGGTCACCAATTCAGTATCTGACCCATGGAGTTATGGCATTGAATAATGGCCAGAAAAGTATTTTTGCAGAGCTTTACAGTGTCACTGTGAAGCTGACCTTTGACCTGTTGGATATAAGATGTCATTACTTAATTATTTTTTCCTATTAGACATTTGAGTGATTTTTTTTCATAATTAGCATATGAATGCTGGAGTTACTGCCAAAACCTTTTTTTGGTGTCACAATGACCTTTGATCTTTGACCACCAAATTCTAATCAATTCATCCTTAAGTCCAAATGGACGATTGTGCCAAATTGAAGGAAATTCCCTCAAGGCCTTGTTGAGATAACATGTTCACAATAATGATATGGACACACGGTCACAGTGACCTTGACCCTTGACCACCAAATTCTAATAACTTCATTCTAGAGTCCAAGTGGACGTTTGTGCCAAATTTGAAGAAACTGCCTTAAGGTGTTCTTGAGAGAATGAGATACCACTAAAATCTTGTCAGTTCATCATTGAGTCAAAGTGGACATTTGAAGAAATTCTGTCTAGGCTCTCTCACTATTTTGTGTTCGTGGGATGGATGAACGGATGGACAACCTAAAAATACAATCAAATCAAATCAAATTTTATTTATATAGCACATTTTATACAAAATAATCTCAATGCGCTTTTACATACAACGTGTGTATAAAAACAATTTAAGTCTTGAGAGTAATTCATCCCCAGCCCACCCACCTGCACAGACATACCCAATCACATACGAGATGAGAAGAAGAGTGAGAGAGAGAGAGAGAGAGAGAGAGAGAGAGAAATAGATGGATAGAGGCACTATTATAAAGTATAATTAAACTACAGTAAGTAAAGTATTCATAATGCAGCCCCAAAGGGCACAAACCAGTGTTATCATTGGGCCAGTCCCAAGCCCAGATAAATGCAGAGGGTTGTGTCAGATAGGGCATCTGATATAAAATCTATGCCAAATCAAACATGCGAATCACGACTATGACTTCCATATGGGATCGGTCGAGGCCCGGGTTAAAAACGATTGCCACTGGTGCTGTTGACCTACAGGGTGCCGGTGGAAATTGGACTACTGTTAGTTGAAAAAGGAGAGGAGGAAGGCGTGTCCGTAGGCAGAGAGAGAAGAGGAAAGGCAAGAGTCTAGAACTGTGAGTAGGGACTTTGAATGACTTTGAATGACTATGAGAGGGAAAGCTAGAGAGTTGGCTGACATGATGCAGAGGAGGAAGGTGGAGTAGTTATCCTGAAGGAGTTTGTTAAGAATGTTCTGGAGGTGAAAAGAGTGTCAGGTAGGGTGATGAGTCTGAAGCTAGAAATTGAAGGTGTGATGTTCAATGTTGGGCAGCATGGTGGTGTGGTGGTTAGCATTGTCACCTCACAGCAAGAGGGTTCCTGGTTCGATCCCAGGTGTGGGAGCCCTTCTGTGTGGAGTTTGCATGTTCTCCCCGTGTCAGCGTGGGTTCTCTCCGGGCACTCTGGCTTCCTCCCACAGTCCAAAGACATGCAGATTGGGGACTAGGTTAATTGATGACTCTAAATTGTCCATAGGTGTGAATGTGAGCGTGAGTGGTTGTCTGTCTCTATGTGTCAGCCCTGCGATAGTCTGGCGACCTGTCCAGGGTGTACCCTGTCTCTCGCCCAATGTCAGCTGGGTTAGGCTCCAGCCCCCCCGCGACCCTCAAGAGGATGAAGCGGTTAGAAGATGAATGAATGAATGTTCAATATTATTAGTGGTTATGCCTCACAGGTAGGATGTGAGTTAGATGAGAAGGAGATATTCTGGAGTGAGTTAGATGAAGTGATGTAATCTGAAGGAGATCAGTGACTGCAAAGTTGTAGTAGGTTAGAGTGTAGCCAGACAGGATAGGATGGTGGTGTGTAGGATGACTCTGGTGGTTAGGAAGATGAAGAGGACAAAGGCAGAGCAGAGGATGAAGTGGCAGAAGCTGAAAAAGGAAGAGGGTTGTGTGGTTTTCAGGGAGGAGTTGAGACAGGAGGTGCTCCCAAATGACTGGACAACTACAGCTACTGTTATCAGAGAGACAGGTAGGAGAGTACTTGGTATGTCATCTGGAAGGAAAGGAGATAAGGAGACCTGGTGTTGGAATGAGGAGGTGCAGGAGTGTATACAGAGAGGTTAGCTAAGAAGAAGTGGGACACTGAGAGGACTGAAGAGAGTAGACAGGAGTAGAGGGAGATTCAGCGTAAGGTCTTGCAGCAGATTAGGGTGATTAAGGACAGAGATGGGAATGTATTGACAGGTGCCACAAGTGTGATGGGAAGATGGGAAGAGTACTTTGAAGAGTTGATGAATGAGGAAAATGAGAGAGAACAAAGAGTAGAAGAGGTGACCACTGTGGAGCAGGAAGTAGCAAAGATTAGTAAGGATAAAATAAGGAGGACATTGAAGAGGATGAAAAGTGGAAAGGCAGTTGGTCCTGATGATATACCTGTGGAGGGATGGAAGTGTCTAGGAGAGGTGGCAGTAGAGTTTTTGACTAGGTTTTTCAACAAGGTCTTAGAGAGTGAAAGGATGCCAGAGGAATGGAGGAGAAGTGTGCTGGTGGCGACTTTTAAGAACAAAGGAGATGTGCAGAGTTGTGGCAACTACAGAGGGATAAAGTTGATGAGCCATACAATGAAGCTTTGGGAAAGAGTAGTGTAAGCTAGACTAAGAGCAGAAGTGAGCATCTGTGAGCAGCAGTATGTTTTCATGCCAAGAAAAAGTATGGTAACACTTTATATGAAGGTACTGTAATAAGCGTTAATTAATGCTTAATAAGCACCAATTAACAGTTAATCAGCACTTATACGATGGTATTAGATGCTTATTAACATCAATAAGACTATATAAGTGTTTATTACAGCATAACTGACAGTTATTATTGCTTATAGGTGCATTATAAGCACTTAATATAAACTTTGGTAACAGTTTATAAACCTATACTAAATATTAATAAGATGTCTATTTACATTAATTATAATTTATAAGGGTTAATTATAGAATAATAGCCACATTTATTACTGGTTTATAAAACACTATAAGACCCTATCAGATTAAATATATATGATAAGGTGTTTATTAACATTAATAAGACCTAGTGAGTGTTAATAATAGTATACAACACATTTATTATTGGCTTATAAGATATTATTGGGTACTAGAACATCCTTAAGAGTTTATCAATTTATCAATATTAACAAGATGTTTATTAACATTAATGAGACTATAAGGAGTTAATATAAATGCCATATTATGGTTAATAAATGCTTAATTATGCACTTATTATACAATGTTCCACAAAGCTCCCATCAGTTTTCTGAAAGTGAGTGACAGAAGTCTCAAAATCAGCTTAGGTCAAATATGGTGGCAGCGGCCTTCAAGACACCCTCATCAAGGTTGCCAAACCGTGTGGTGAGGTTGTCACAGAAGCCATTGATCAGTTTACAGTTGCAATCAAATTTATTCAACCCCCATTGCATATTAGGCTTATTGGCAAAATATACAATTTCTCAGCTGTTTGCAATAAACAAATTACACAAGAACTGTTTAAGTAGTTCAATGAAACTAATATTACAAGGGTTTTTATCCAAATTCAACACTAAATGCTACTTTTAATGACTACTGCAGTCTCAAAATTATTCAACCCCTTCATGACAAGCATCTTCAGTACTTAGTAGAGCACCCTTTTGCTGTTATGACCTGCTGCAAACGTGATGCATAGCCAGACACCAGCTTCAGACAGCGTTCCTGAGGAATCTTAGCCCATTCCTCATGGGCAATGGCCTCCAGTTCAGTAATATTCTTGGGTGTGCGTTTTGCAACCGCCTTCTTCAAATCCCACCAGAGATTTTCTATGGGGTTCAAGTCAGGCGACTGTGATGGCCACTCTAGAATCTTCCATTTCTTCTTCTGAAACCAAGCCTTGGTGGACTGTGAGGTATGTTTGGGATCATTATCCTCTTGGAAGGTCCAATGACGCCCAAGCTTCAGCTTCCTCACAGACGGCACAACGTTTTTACCTAAGATTTCCTGATACTTGACTGAATCCATCGTGCCCTCCATACGCTGCAGGTTTCCAGTGCCAGAGGCAGCAAAGCAGCCCCAGAGCATCACTGAGCCACCGCCATGCTTCACTGTAGGCAGGGTGTTCTTTTCAGCATATGCTTCATTCTTCTTCCTCCAGACATACCGCTGTTCCATAGGCCCGAAGAGTTCCAGTTTTGTTTCATTGCTCCACAGAACAGAATTCCAAAACTTCTGTGGCTTATGTATATGGTTTTGAGCATAATGGAGCCGACTTTTCTTGTGCTTTTGGGTCAGTAGTGGTGTATGTCTTGGAGTCCGGGCATGGAGCCCTTCAGTGTTTAGTATGCGCCTTATTGTACAAACTGAAACCTCAGTGCCTGCTGCCACCAAGTCTTGCTGCAGGTGTTTTGCAGTCACTCGAGGGTTTTTGAACACTTGCCTTCTCAGGAATCTGGTGGCAGCCGCTGATAGTTTCCTCTTTCTGCCATGTCCAGGTAGTGTAGCCACTGTTCCTTTAACTTTGAACTTGCAAACTATGCTTC